TGCTGCAGAAATATGTTTGGTCCTACTACATCGATAAGGTCAGTAGTACTACTAGCAGTGCTGAACTTGACGAATCAATCCGATCGATCTTGAAGTTTACTTAAAGTGGCACCAAAATGCGTACGTTTGCAGTGTGAATTGGTCGTGTATCTTTCCGATATAGCCGCAATTTCTGCGACAGGATGAATAATTCACAAGGCATCAAGAAATATTCACACCCAGGGCAAATATCTATGGTGCCGCTTGATCGATCAATCGATCCTTAAGGCTCATCCAGGCTACTTTGCGCATTGATAATAACTTGTAATTACCATACCTGCGCCGCTGCATTGTTTCCTGATTGCTATGTGCTCTGATATTCACGCACGCAGGTGTCTCTCGGTGATTCATACCGTGATTGGCTCCAAAATGCCCGATGGTTGCGCCAGGGGCAACCAATGACTCTCATCCCCACTGAAATTGGATAATATGATATCCAGTTAAATCCAGGTATGAATGCTTTGCACGGAGCTCCATCATGGTGAGGACTGCATCACTTCCAGCCCCTGAATTCGGTGACCATGTGTTTAGAGTCTAGAGTTACGACGAGGATGGTGGCGCGGTCTACAAGTCCTGCTCGGTTTTCGTCGTACGTGTAACGGTCGGCGTTTATGGCGATCACTTGCCGAACCAATTTGTTCAGTGAATGAAGCTAACTAACACAGTAATCTTATCTTGTTAGACCATTCTACCACACCCTGCCATCATAACGCCTCGTTGAGAGTGTCTGGTTGTAGTGTGGTCTCGCACATATCACTCGTCACCGCACTTCATATGCATCGGCTCAGACGTAGCGCAATGTTTTGATCCACTCAACCGTGTATAGTACGACGATCGTTGACCTACAATCTATCACCTTCATACTTATTCTACACATCCAGCTCACTGTCCCTACAGGCTGACAGTACAAATGGTAACGAAGTGGAGCATAGTACGTCATAATATATGTCTATACCGCGATAAATGTTCATTGGCATCTTCGTCCTAACATTACTGCAGGATAAAAACGTGTCATTCTGATTTTGACCTTTTCAAATCACCGTGCGGCGCCAATGGTCTCTGCTTTATTCCAAAAGTTTGTCTTCTCGTTCCACAAACCACCCGCCCACCTCGTCTGTGAACGGCACCAACCCACAACCACTACACGGGGATCCGCGATGGAATTGGCAATTGCTGCATCCTGCCCAAACCGAAGTTCATCCTCGCTGAGTATGCAACGAAGCACGCAGACCTTGAGCTTGCTGCAGTTTACCAATATGGCGCTTAGGGCATAGCTGGCTATAGTGCCACTCGAGAATGAGGAACCAAATACGAAATGCAAAATTTGGTGCCCGGGCCATTAACTGGCCCCATCTATCATGCAGCTCCAGATACGTGAGCTCCTGGTAAAATGGGAGGGCAAAGTTAGGGGGCGGCCATGTACTGCAAGGTGTTCGGCAGAAAAAGACAGATGAGTAGGGCGGATGGAGCGGGCAACGACAAATTGCGCGACAGCTGACGGAGTGTATGGCCATACTCTAAGATTTGCGATGTCAGTGCAAACTGCAAGAATCTCCGTCATGGAGCACGCCGGAATGCCAGAGAGGAGAAGTGTCTTGACATATCTAACAAAAAACGAGGCGGGCTTGGTCTTGATGGCAGAAATAAATCCTTCTAATACTCCTGCTGAATCGCTACCTCCATATTGGAGTACGACGCAGTTATAAATCACAGGTTCCACCCTGTGGTCGAAAATAATTGTTCGTTTCTGTTTCCTTGTGAGCTGATTCACCAGAACCGTACTCGCCGGGCCACCAAGGCCAGACTCAAGGCCGAACGACGGTCACTCATAATGCTGTTCGGCCAATAATCGGACGCGGTAGTTACTCGCATAATATCTTGTTAAAAGGAGTGGTGATTTATCCTTTTTGTGACTTCGGCGAGACGCTTGAAACCATGAGACACTAGATTCTGTTACAACGAAGGAACACGTTTTCAGATTATCAAATAAGCAGAATAAACCAAAGGTACAGAGTGAGCGCGTTGTAGTCACATGACTTATCATGTGATCGTGCTTTTTCATGTTAATCGGATCGGATTTGTATCCTTCAAGCTTGTTAGAGTCCACTTCCAAAATTACATGCCATGGATCTCGGCGAGAATGTCAACACCCCTACGACTCGTCTCCTGACGCTACTAAATGTATCCGCTTTGAAAAGCAGAAAGAGAACACGAGATGAAGATTCGCCAGCACCCAAGTTAAACAAGCGAAAGACGGTTAAGCTTGCAGAAGATAATACATTGGACCCAGTCCCCTTGACATTACATGACAGACCTAACAATGAAGCAGATGACGAGGTCGTTGGAGGTGACGAAGAAAATGACGGTGTGGATTTACAAGGTGCATTATCAGTATGGTTTAGAGAAATTCACTCAAATGCAATTCGTTAGATATCACATCGCCATACGAACAACACTACGGACCAGATACTGATCTTGTATCAGAGGCACCAAGAAACTCTGTGGATCAACGACGCTGGACGTCTTCGGGGGAGAAAGTTGGCACATTACGAGCTGTGTTTAGTTTACGAAACGAGGACATCACTCCTCCATCGAAAAAACTGGCGAGACAGACAGCAGTATGTTGTATCCTGTAATATATCACATGCTGCTGAAATATTTATGAAATTATTACCAGATACCACAACGTTTGAGGGGTCCATTTCGGGCGCGACAATCGAAGCAGTCATCAGGTATGCTCAGCGGTGTGCCGCACGCCATGATATTGATCTCTGTACATTTCAGATCAGAGGCAAGTACAAGATGATCTACTCTCGATCTTGTCCGCCCACCTTGATCTATATAATCCTGCACTTTCTCTGGAGGATCACCGAAGTGTACGAGATGTCGTTGCATTGCACGCGCTGGACCACATCATAAAGTTTGTTGCTCCCCATCTCTAGACTTGAGTGTGTTCATGGAAAAAAACACAGAAAACGAAGACGAGTTTTGAAAAACAATGAACGTCTCGCACATGCGAAAGCAGCCTCGCTCTCGCCTCCAGAGGACGTCCAAGATCAAGGTTTTACTCGACCCTCCGTACTTATTCTTCTCCCGTTTCGCTCGTCGGCACTCGCTTGGTTCGATGCATTAACCACACACACACCCTCTCCAGCATATCAAATCGAAAACTACTCTCGTTTTCTATCCGAGTACGTTCTTCCATCTGATGCAGTTGATAAGCTGGCAGTTGCCGAACCGGGGACATACCCTCGAGACCATGTTGAGACGTTCAAGGGCAATGTCGACGACAATTTCAGGGTTGGAATTAAACTCACAAGGAAAAGTGTCAAATTATTCGCCGATTTTTATGGATGTGATATTATTCTTGCAAGTCCGCTCGGTTTGAGGATGTCAATCGAGAAAGAAAAGTGCGTCCATTGTGCGAACCAATGCAACGGTAAATCGTAACTTCTCTCCAGAAGCGCAGATTTTTTATCATCAATCGAGATATTGGTGATAGATCAAATGAATGCACTGGCAATGCAAAATTGGGAGCATGTCCAGGTATGTCCATGTCATATTTCATGTTAGTCCCCTTTTTTGATTATGTGCATGTCAGTATGTCCTTTCAAACATGAACAACCTGCCGAAAGATTCCCATGACGCGGACTTCTCGCGTATCAAGCCATGGTATCTAGACGGCCAGTGGGTTTCCCCTTGACAATCCATTATGCATGATACTTAGTTTCCGCGAGCTCTGCGTACCTTCGACAGTCCATCTTCTTGTCACCGTTCGAAACGCCCGAATTGAGAGCGCTGTTTAACACCACGCTCAAAAACACTGCAGGGAAGGTCAGAGTCGAAAAAACATGGCCTGCTATACAGGTTCCAGAGTCTATCGACCAAGTGGGTGCTTTCTTCATTGCCCCACAGATTCAGCCTTAACAATACAAAGATGTTTGTTCCTTTCGACTGTACAAACCCCAAGGACGAACCCGAAAAGAGATTTGCTTATTTCACCACTCAGGTAACCTCTGCGACTCCAACCTTGAATTTCGTCATCTTACATCATTGTTAAGCTACTGCCAAGGGTACTTAAATCCGCAGTACAGAGTGCCAACACAGTGATCTTCATACCTTCCTCATTCGATTTCATTCGTGTGCACAACTACTTCCGGAAGCAGTCTTCCCTGAGCTTCGCTGTACTCTCTGAGTGAGTTCCACATAACAAAAACGAGGACACCAGCTAACTATATGTAGATACTCTACCAATCAGGACATTTCTCGAGCACGAGAAACTTTTTTCTCCGGTAAAAAGGCCTTTTTGCTCGTTAGCGAGCGGTTTCATTTTTACCGCAGGTACGTCACTCAAACATTTGTAAAATTCAAGTTTATATAGCGAGTTCTGTATCTGCAGATACAAAATCAGAGGCATCCGCAATCTCATTTTCTACGGCCCTCCAGAACATCCTCAATTCTTCTCCGAGTTCCTGTCCTTCCCATTCCTTGACGATGGGGTGGAGGGCTCCGATGTAATGTCAAAAGTGATTTATTCCAAGTATGACAAGTTCAGGCTGGAAAGAATTGCTGGGACAAAAGGTGTGAAAGGTCTTTTGGAGGGTCTCCTGTAGTTCCAGAGCGATACCACCTTACTGCACCACCGCAGGCGTGGGTCCTTGGCCTTAACGTTCATCCTTTGGAGGACCGCCTCTCTGAGGTGTAAGATACACCGAGGCGTCCGTCCTTTCTTTGGCCTCCCTTACTTGATTTCGATTGATGTCGCTCGTTGTCGTTGAAGTCTTGCATGTAGTGGAAAATAAATATTCGAACCCGCATCGACGGGCATTAAGTACTTCATTGGTGGAACCTTCTAAAATAAAGCTTGTTTTCCCTGAGACCTTTAGAACTAGTGCGCCTCGTGGATTGAATGTCAATTCTTCTGAAAACTCCGGGACTGGATTTCACCTTTGCGATGTACTCGGAGATCTGTAACTGTTGACATCGGTGCACCTGAGATGTGTTAGCTGGCTGTCCTGGTGTATACATTCTGTAGCGTATACTAGTATGTACTGGCAGGTATCGATGTGGCATGAAAGAACCATGGTAGCTAATGCATACTATGCCAACCTACAAAATATGAAGAATAAATCATCTCGTCGTACATCGTAGTCAGAAACGAGTTTCATCATCTGCCAAACATATTCTCATATGTGGACTACCATAGGCTTGAAAAGCTGCCATTGTTCCTGATTGATCGAGTGTTCTGCATCTTGGGACACGTTGAGGGCTCTCTGGTGGGACCGTTTGTGATTGCGTGGCTTCGGCTCTGAACACAATCATGCCCTGAAACGGAATTATAATTTACAAGCAGATATTCAAAGGGTGCTCACCAAACCACCATCACTCCGAGTCTCTTGAAGGAGTAACCGCCGATTTAACCTGCAAGTTACGTCGGTAAGTTCGTCGCGTTTATTATTCGTCGAGTCCATTCAGTGACTGACGAGATCAACATCGAGTTCCCTATGACTACAACGATACGTGGATCAGTTTACTTAACGTAAAGTATTTTATGTCATTACCATTAGGCCACATCAACCATGCTCCAAACCACACATCTGCATCACTTCAGTCGAGTTTTAACGTGGTACCAATACACTCACAGTTCCGTTTCAGGATTAGAAACTGAAAGCTAGTTAGAAAACCTTCGTTCCGGAGAAGATATGGGCAATGAAGTCCTTACCAATATCATCACTGTGCCGGCGAGTAAACTAACGGACGTCATTGACGGAAACGCCTTATGAAAGAGCCAAATACCTGGTGATCAGAGCAGTTTCTGTGGAGGCGACATCAAGAAGGGCATTCACCCCATGAAGTTCCCATCTTACCGATAGTCCAATGAATCAACCGGCCGATCATTGTCGTCGTGCTATGACTAGCAGATGTAAGGAACAGTAGGCAAGATGTTGGATAGTCATACTCTATGATGTTAGAGCCTCGTTTCTTTTTTAAATTCCAGGCAATACCAGCGGTGGTGATCCAATCACAGACTGCGCGTGCGCTGAAAGCGAGCATAATCAACGAGCCTTGACTGGCTTCAAACGTTGTGAGGTCCGTCATAGAAAATGCCCTTGCTAAGAGAATGAATGTCGAAATTTGCGCAACCACGGAAAACATTTGGCAAATAATGGGTAAGTAAACATTTCTAGCCAACTTCCAAAGTCGGAATGCATAAAATGACTGATATTTACCCGTAAGTATCAAATAATGAAAATATGTTTGAAATCGCTTACCTGCACAATGGATACGGTAAAACTGCTCAACAGAATGGCTAGGTCTGCCGCTAGAGGAAAAACACCGAGTCGAGACGGGTCGCCATAGGTGCTGACGGTCATTGTCCACAACATTGACAATATGCAGACGAAGTGGCCCAGCTGAATCAAGCTGCAGAGCACGTATAAATATTCGTAGGAGCAAAGTCACACATAGGGCGCACAGGACTGCAGATACCTAATTGTATGACGTGATAGATAAAATCAACATGAATCGTGCCAGTTGTAACCGACTTACAGTTGCTTTCAGGGCGAGACAGTCGCTCGTGAACTTTGCAAAATACACGTAGGACTGGCAGGCAAGGCAGCCGAACAATGCGCCACTCAGAAGCCCAAAGACTTGCACGGGCCCGATGACAACACTTGCATCAAAATCGCTCGTGGATCCTTGTAAGCTATTCATCGCGTCCACACTACAAAGTAATGCAAGATTATAGGAGACAGTATGATCGCTGCATGTGACTTACGAAAGCGTTAGGTAGATAAAAATGCGAGGAGCCAGACGAATGGCACGGAAAGTTCGAGTGTAGCGACCGCAAACTTGCAGAAGATAGAGATGAAGCAGCCTCAATCTCCGAAACATCTTCAGAAGGAACGGCATCCAAGTTCGTGTGCCGACACAGCCCGCAACACCATCGCCTATCTGATGCTCCACACTTGTGCTAGCAGCGCCTTGATGATGGATGTACTGCTCGGGATTACTATCTCTGACGGAAAGGTGTGGTGTTTCCAGCATGAATCTAGAATAATTATACGCTGGGCGACGTGACTGCACCATTTATCAGAATTTCGTACCGTCACTTCTCTAGCCCCACCGATTTATTGATTCGTTTCAAAAATACCCGGCTTGTCATGGTATTTCACTGTTGCGGTGTGCTCGGCTAGATGCGTAACCGTGACTCGTGTGTCGTTGACATCGGCGGAATACATATCTATGACTCCCACGTTAGTGGGAACTTCGGAAGAGGGTTTGTTAAACCCAAACGTTCAGGCACCCGCTGATGCGTAGGAACCCTTTGGAGAAACCGGTTGATGAATGCATGATCAGTGGATCCATAGTCTGTGTTGTCTCTACAGTGAAGAAACCTGTTACATCTTTTTTCTTTTTTTGGACAACTGACACCGATTACGTCTTTTGTGGTTTCTCTCGGGTCCTTATTTCATTGACGAACTTACTCAGAACGTCTGTGTTTCTCTCACAACACCCCACTGGTCTAGCACGTCTCCTTGAGTCCTCAGTGCTACAGATTGCCCACCTCACAACATCCTTCACATGTCCTCTATTCTATAATGCTTCGTTTAAATTGTACTACCCGCAATATCATGAATCTTTATATGCAAGAGCTGAAATTTTTCGTCGTTGGTTACAACAACCACTCGCCCCCCACAGTAACAACTCGTGTTTTGGACTCTGCGGTCCTCTTTATTGATCTGTCGCCGTAGTTTTTGATGAGGTAGGTCTATCTGTTCATGTGGGTGATATCTCAATATTTGAGTTTCGCTCGCGCGCATTTCGAGTCTGCTGTACACTGTAGCAAACGCCTCAAGGTTCATCAAGAGGCTGCTCAACAAGGCAATCTCCTTCTCGCAGTAGTCCCAGCTACTACCTTGTGCATTATATCTAGACTAAAAGATGATCCTCGGTGGTTTTCTAGCTTACACAGATGCTTGCTATGCAGAAAATTTGTCTGCTTTGCCCGCGCCTGTTCTGCGTGGTGTTACATTGCGAGTTGGAACTGAGAGATCAGGTGCGCGAAACAATATTATAAGGGGCGTGGTGTCAATATGATCATGTCTCATTTCACTTGTAAACGCACAGAGCTTGCAAGCATGTTGGATGATATCTTCTTCAAGGGTCTCTTGGCAGCACCTGTCCCACCTGCTTGCACAAGAATACGGAGCACTTTGCTTACTGCTGAGCTTCGGAACTTGTACGGCCCTGGGGTGGCCACTGCTCTACAGACCCCTCCTGTCGTCAGTGCATCTCTTGCTACTGATTCAGCGGCTACGCGAGCCTCTTCACCGTGAATTTTGGCATTTGTTGATGATTTTGCTAGCTGTTTAGAGAAGCTGAACCGCACCGACCAACAGACGACGGTATTCGTCAATTTACGCCGTGCACTCGATATACAACAGGCTCTTGTTAGAAGCTAAGACGCAAACACGCTCAGTATGTGCAGACAACGACCGAGGCCTCGATGTATGATTCAGAAGATGCGATACTCTTCCCTTCTCCTTCAGCTCCACATTGGACATGCTCCACTGAACAAACACCTCCATTGTATCACGAAGGTCCCAAGCCCTACCTACCAACAATGCCACCAGCACAAAGAGACCGTCCACCACTTCCTAATCGCCTGCTTAGTGTATGCAAGACAGCACCATGCGCTTCAGGAAGAACTAGGAATCTGTTGAACAACCGAAAATGCATCAAACCTTTGCTCCGCTTCATCGCGAGCACGCACAGACCGGAACAAAGGTTCGGAGATATCACACCATCTGCAGACAACGAGAACGAAGAAGCATGAACGACGCACCTATTCCCTATTATCGCCTTTAGTTGGCTTCAATTGTCCTCGCACCCTGCCACAACTGCCGCCATTAATACTGTTCCATCCCCCGAGAAACTCGGAGAAAGTACACTGTATCATACATCTCAACATTTTCTGTTGTTTTCCGCGCTTCCGATGTCATATTTCCGCCCTCTACTACCTCCTTGTTTTTCTTTTCCGCTCTGTTCTCGACGTGTTTTAAAGGTGCGCCCAACCTGTTTCGAGCCGTTTTGACCAGTCTCCCCAGATTTGTAGCCACTTCTACATATCAAATGCAATATACTGCATGATACTATGCAGCACGGCTAGGACTTTACTGAGGAACTTGGTGGTATGGTACATTCACTTACAAACAAAGCTTCCATCAATTTCCATGCCTAATGCCAACCTACTGAAGAGCACATCATCTCGTCGTACACTCGCCCCATAATCAGCAGTGAGTTTCGTCATCATGAAACACATGCTCGCATATATGAACTACTGCAGGCTTCGAAACCCGTTTATGCTCCTGATCGATCGAGCGCCCTGTTTCTTGGAACACTTCAAGATCTCGGTTCTCAAAGTTCTCCAACGAGTCTTCATGTGATTGCGTAGCTCCGGCTCTGAAACAAATTGTGTTCTGAAATGGAATTATAATTTATGCGCAGTTATTCAGATGGTACTCACCGAGCTACTACCACGACGCTGGATATCACCTCCTGAGGCCCTCCGAGTCTCTTGAAGCAGTAACCGCCGATTCAACCTATATGCCACGTTGGTAAGTTTATCGTGTTTACCATTCATCGAGTCCATTTGGTGACTGACGAGGCAAACAAGCAGTTCCCTACGACTGCACAATACGCGGGTCAATATTTTTATTTGGAAGTATTCCATGTTATTACCATTAGGCCATATCAACAATACTCCAAACCACACAACTACGTCATTTCAGTTGTGGTCAGATGCGTTACCAACGCACTCACAATTTTGTTTCTGTAATACAAACTTAAAGCTAGTTAGAGAATACTTCATTCGGGGGAAGATATGAGCAAAATCCTTACCAATATTGTCGTGACAATGGATATCAAACTGACAGATCATTAAATGAAACACCTGATGAAAGAGGCAAATACCTGTTGATCAAAGCAGTCTCTGTGTAGAGGTGACGTTAGAAGGCATTCACCCAATTAGGGCACTTCCTATCTCACCGAGTGTCCAATAAATCAACCGGTCGACCATTGTCACCGTGCTATAACAGATGTAAGGAATGATGAGCGACGTCGGATACATAGTCATACTTGAAATCAGAGACTCGTCTCTTTTTCAAACTCCAGGCGACGCCGACAGTGGTGGTCAAGTCGCAGACTCCACGTGCCATCCAAGAGAGCGCAATCAGCACAGTTTGACTGTTTATAAAAGTCGTGAGGTCCGTCATAGAAATCGCCCTTGATGAGAGAACGACCATGGAAGTGTATGCGACCACGGAGATCATTTCGCAAAAAACGGGTAAGAAAATACTCCTAGTCAACTTCCAAAGTCGAAATGCGTAAAATGACTAATACCATTCGTAAGCACCAAATAATTAATATCCATTCGAAATCACTTACCTGCGCGATGAACACCGTAAAGCCGCTCAATAGAAGGGACAGGTCTGCCATTAGAGGAAGGACACTGAGTTGAGATGGGTCACCATAAGTGCTAACAGTCATTGTCCACAATGTTGATATTACGCAGATAAACTGGCCCAGCTGAATCAAACTGCAGAACGGGTATCAATACCATTCGAAGCAACCAAGTCAAACATGGAACATACGTGATTGCAGATACCTAGCCGTATGATGCGATCAATAAGATGCATCAATTGCACAGCAGTAGCCGACTCACAGTTGTTTTTAGGGCGAAGCCATCGCTTGTGAATCTTGCAAAATACAAGTAGGACTGGCAGGCAAGACAACCGAATGATGCAGCGCTCAAAAGCCCACCGACTTGAGTTGGCCCAATGATGGCCAGCTGTGCATTGAAATTGTTTGCCGATCCCTCTAAGATATCCATCGTGCCCACAGCAAGGTGATAGAAAACAGTCTGATCGTTATGTCTGACTTACCAAAGTGTTTATCGGTACCAGTCGATGATGCGAGGGTCCTGAAGAAATGCACGGTATGGTCAAGTGCAGTGAAAGCAAACTGCGGAAAGTACAGATGCATCCCGGCAGTTCGATTTCCGATATTTATAGCATGCGCAATGGAGCTAGTGGGTCACCGTTGGACTCGGAAGTATCCCCGGATATCATTGGTTAGAACAAAGTTCCCGCTACGGCAGTAGTGGGTTTTGCGGTGTCATCGCCGTAAAAACTAGGCTCGTGATACATCTATTGTGGAGGGACCCGCTTATTACGATACCCTTCAAGTGAATGACATGGGCGCTCTGCCTCGACGAACAAGGCTGCATGCATACTCCCGATGTCTGCCCACATGTCGTCTAAAGTGGTTGTAAATTGATGAGTCATCTCGGACTGATGACATGCAAAGTTTGTGCAAAGTACGCTTCTGCATTGTCGACTCAGTTGTAGATGCCATCAACCATTCGATCAGGCCCGTCTTTTGCTCGCCACATATTATATTGACTCCATCGCTTTAAAATAATTACACTACCTCGTGATCCAGTGAGCAATGTCGACCGACCAAAGAACGAAGCCAAATTTCTTTGGCTGCCCGGAGTCTGTGTGGGCTCATTTACTTCTGGTGAAGTTCTATATGTTCTGCTTCGGCAATGTGACTGGCACGAGGTGCATTGCCGCGCTTACTTCTGTGCATTTCCCCAGCTTCACCAATCAACTTGGTTGTCAATAACTTATACCCAACCTGGATTTCACTTTGCGATATACTTGGAGATGCGTTACTCATGTGACATTGGAGTGATCGTTTTCGGCGCACTATGTGCTCGACTCGGATCAGTCTATACAACGTACTGTCACTGTATTAATGACGTAGGATGATCAAAACCACCAAGGGCATTCACGGACGTCTAATGGCATATACCCAAAATGCTATATGGAGCAGACTATTTGGTGTGCGGCATTAGTTGCAAAGGGCAGAGGGGAGGCGGCAGAGGCACCCACGGACCACATCACACATGGCACGCGTCCAACGAATGACGATAGTGCTCATTACTGGAGGGCTAAGATCCTCAGCGTCTGATTTGCTCCACGTCCACACTATCATTCTTCTATTTCAGCAGACAATCCGGAAAGTCCGCTTCAGAGCTACACTTCGAATGGCGACACTTCCTCCCATTTACCCGCTAGCAAAAGGCCTCAAGACAGCCTACAGCTTCTGCGCAAAACGGGATTTTGAAGGGCAAAAACGCCACCCGTCACCACTCCACAAGCTGCAGAACAAATTCAGAATCAATCCGAAAACAATGGAGAAATTACACCAGTTCACCACTTTCTAAAGTGGACCCCAGACGTTGAAGTTAGTATCGCGACAAAACAGGAGGACGCGATCAGGGAAGAAGAACAAGCCAACGAATGCCTACGTGTATATTCAGACGGATCAGCAGTAGATGGCGGAGTGGGAGGGGCGGCAGTTCTGATGAGAGGGGAACAAATGATCAGGGGGAAAATATTCTACCTGGGAAGCGAGACAGAACACACCGTGTACGAGGCAGAAATAATTGGGATGATACTCGCGGTAGAGATATTGAGGGAAGAAGGGGGAGAGGGTACGATGTCGTTGGGGGTGGATAATCAAGCCGCAATAAGAGCGATGGGAGCTTTTCAGTCACAACAAGGTCATTACTTGGTCGACAAGTTTCATAATGATCTTCAAGAATTTCTCCTAGACAATGACGGCAGGAAACTGGTGATCAGGTGGACTCCGGGCCACAAGGGTATTGCAGGAAACGAGCACGCTGACAAGCAGGCAAAGAGGGCTGCGAGAGGAGAGATGTCGAAAAGCAAGCAGCTCCCTAAATCCCTGCAAACGAAAGCGAAGACGCCGCTGATACTCCCGCTCAGCAAGTCAGCGACGAAACAACAATCCAACGACAGAATCAAGAGCAAAGCCAAGGAAATAACATGTCAATCTCCTCACTTCCGCACTCTACACGCTATCGATCTATCAGCACCATCCAAGCACTTTACAAGCATCGTCGAAGATTTCCCGTGTTGTCACAGTTCTCTTCTGTTTCAACTCAGATCAGGACACATCCCGTTGAACAAACACTTATATTGCATATCGAAATCATCGACAGCTCGTTGTCTCGACTCTCCAATGCAACAGACACGACGAATCAGTGAACCACTTCTTCATAGTTTGTCCCGCGTACACACGTCAACGAGCTGCACTCCGCGAAGGGATCGGAAATGTCGCAAATCAACCGAGAAGTCTGTTGAATGACCGTCACTGCACAAAGGCCCCCTTCCGCTATATCGTACGTACCAGAATGGAATGGCATTGGTGATGTCATGCCACTGAAAGACGAAGACCTAGATCGAGAGCACCCTGTAACACCATATCCTTCGCCTTATGTAAATTGCCGTCTTCGTCCTCGCTTACCTGCTTGGACCAATATTAAGGACTTGATTGGGTTTAACTGGTGAAATTCGCCGATTCTGGCACTGACCACAGTCTAGCTACCTTCCTCGCGAGTCTCCTCCCATGGATTTCCCAACAGTTAATAAATCTACTGACTACTCCCAGTCTCGTATGCAAGCGACTTGGACGGCTTCCGCAAATTCCATAACAGTCATAGCTTGAAATACTCCCAGTTGCACTGGCATGAGTCAACACCTTAACCAGAACGAGCCACAAACGACTCGGAGCCGTGCGGTAAGTTCCTGCGTTATATATATATATTTCACTCCCATATCTTGATACCGATTGTGCTCACTTTATGTGATGACCGGTCGTCTTGATCTCTACAACTGCCGTCTCTGTTGTCTATGGAAATACTGCCAAGTACTTTGCTCCATAGCCCTCGATTTCGTTTAGTGCTTAATCGCTTCTGTTTAAGGTGTTCTCCCTATACTTGCTGCGACATGATCCGCAGTGTGAGAAGCGGATATGTATCATTGGAGCGGGACCGGCAGGTCTTGCTGCTCTAAAAGTCATATCAGAGACCGCCTACTTCAAGTCAGGGAAATGGTCGGTCATCGCGTATGAGACCCGGGAAAAGGTTGGGGGAGTATGGTGAGTTCATACTGCTTCAAAAAAATGTGAACAATTGCTAAGCACCATCCCGTCCAGGCTGCCTGCCCCGCCGGTTGTTGACGCCTACAACGCTCTCATGACGCCTCTTTACGACTCATTAACCACGAATGTGCCTCATCCTATAATGGCATATACCAGCTACTCCTTTCCGCCAGAGACACCTTTGTTTCCGTCAGCACATGTGGTGCAAACGTATCTCGAGTCGTATGCTGCATACTTCAATCTTATGTCCCTCATCAAGTTCGACACCACAGTATTAGATGCACGATGGGAATCAACGCAGTGGACAGTAACCCTTTCGGATGGCGGACACTTTGCATATGACCACTTGATCGTCGCAAATGGACATTATCACTTACCCCGCGTGCCAGACGTGCCAGGGTTGACAGATTGGATGAAGAATGGTAGAGCCTCTCACTCTGCGTGGTATAGGAAATCTAATTTTCTTGGGGACAAAATACTTGTTGTTGGAGGCGGACCTAGCGGTCAGGATATCGCTACCGAGATGTGCACAGTTTCCTCAGTTGTTGTTCATTCTGTCGATGCCCCTGGCGTAATGACGAATGACGCTGGAAACCCTGTCCGGAGAGGTCGGCTTATCGAACTCAAGGCTAACGGACAAGTAGTTTTTGACGATGGCACGACGGAAGACAATATCGACCATTGTATTCTAGCAACCGGATTCCACATGCATTTCCCCTTCTTTGAGGGAGCAGCCATGATCAACCAGAACATACCACCGGACTTCCCTCCATTACCTCCCGGCGAGCTTTTCAACTCAACCCACCACGTATTTCCCCTTGCAAAGCATTTATTCCCGCTTCAAGCTCGATATCCTACCTCGTCCATCGCCTTCATGGGCCTCATCACGAGGGTCGCGCAGTTTCCACTTATGGAGGCTCAAGCGTATGCGATTGTGCGAGCGTTTTCCGACCCTGCATCTCTAGATCCCATTACAGAAACCGTCGATATCATTACTCGCGCTGACAAAATTAGACGCACTGGTGCTTCAACACCTCTAGACATCGCCAAAGCCTGGTTCCGATTCGACAGGGAAGACCAATGGAACTATCGACATGCGTTGTATCAGTTTGCACAAGGCATGGGGTCTGGGACTCCGCACATTAAAGTCACAGAGTGGGAGAAAGAATTATACGATTTGAAAACGGAAATGAAGTCGGGATGGAAAGATTTGGAGAAGTCGGGGGATTCAAGTGAGTGGTTGAGAGACGTCGGGAAGAATGGGGTGCAGGATTGGGTAGGGTTGATGTATCGTGTGGCGGATTATGCCAGGAGTCTTAATAGCACTCGGCCTAATGCTAAATGACCTCGTTCTCACTACAACAATAAACCTTCAATTTATAGTTATTATGCCTACTGTACATACTGTCTACTGTATGGCTCTGCCCCAAAGGCAATAAATAATATAATGAGAGAAGCAAGAGGCAAGGTATGCTAACAACACCAAAAAAATCTGTGACGAACTCCTGACAATATCCTTTTGTTCCCTGGAGAACACCCGACAACTGTTGATCACCTGGAGTATTTCCTGTGTTACACACTACTGCCGTCGACAGTCGACATATCTACACGTTCCTGGAAATAAATTGTAGTAAAGCCAGTTCTTGCTTCAGAGTTGTCCACGAGCTCAGCATGATATGCCCGAATACCAAGGATAAGGTGTGGACCCAGCACAAACATCTGCACGGGAAAGACAAAAAGGAGAACACCATAATAGACTTGAGCCCCCACAGAATCCGAAGCCTATAGAAAAGATGAGGAATGATCGGATGTTAGTCGGACCGACGTACCGACAGCGTTTGCGAGAAATAACCGAGGTCGAAGCAAGAAACAGCAAGAAAACTATAACGTGAGGAATTTCAGCGGGAGGATAGTTGTTCCAATTACAAGCTCACGCTATAAAGTAAAGCACCTGACTTTTTATTAACATCGCAATACACTCTTCGATGGTCGACCCTGTCGACACTCCGAGTCGTTTCAGTTCACGGAAGTGTTTTATGGCAATCCGGACAGCAAGACACAGTGCGAGGGCCTCCCATATAGTCCCGATCACCCGAGTCCAATGCACAAGTTGGGGCTGGGCTTCCGCAATATCGCACAAATAGTTGCCAGAGAGGACGAGTTCCTCTGGCATTTGTCACATAAATGAGCCAAAGTCTTTCATCCACAAGTAAAGCTTACCCCCAGTAAAAGGGTGGGTTCCTATGCCGTCCATCACTGAGCAGGCGATCGTAACAGTCAGGAAGATTGCAACAAGAAAGATAAGTATCTTTCTAGATCGCTGGTACATAGCATATAACCGAGTAATTACGATGGCTTAAATGATAAGTCAGTCAGGTTAATGCCATTCATGTATTGCAGCTGCACAGCTCACCACCAAGTATGATATATGCAACGAATAATGTCCACCATTGTGTGATGTAAACATTTCTGCCTGAAAAACACATTACAATGGATATTAGAGGACTACATGAAGCAAACTCACACCTGTTTCAGTGGTAAAATTGAACTACATTGCAAGTTGCTCGGGAATCACTCACCCCTGTGTAGGAATGTGGTTAGCTGAACAAGAATAGCAGGCACTGTCACGGAACACTCACTGTATCAGTCAATGAGACTGTCGTGAGGCTTGCTGCATGCCGTTCAAGTTGGTCAATATAAATGGACAGTATATCGAGGAGACATGCCTGGCATGTTGTCCCTGATCATGAGAGACGGTTTATGAGCACGGTGTCAACCTGTTAGTCCTTGGAAACATACACAGCGTATAATAGTCCAATGTAGCGCAGCTAGTATATCTTGCAGTCAGCTCAACTTGCCAACTAACTTGCAACATAAGCCAGTACGTACACTAAGATATAAAAATGTCACAAAGGACCAGCGTTGCCTCTGCCCCGAATCAGCCATATATGCTGTAATTCTTGCGATGGGACTCTACTCACCCAGAAGAGTTCAACCTACAACCAAACATGGTGAGATAGATTCTCCAGCAGTGATATCACAACGTACCTCTTGTCCGAAATTCAACACTGGAAAATATCATAGAATCATCGACAGTCCCTCAAGAAATACTACTTTACTTACTCCAATCGTATACCACTGCAACGGAGGATGCAACTGCAAAATCACAGTCAAATATAAAGTAAGACATCACCAACTAATGCTCTCTACGAACCTATAAAATAGCTGCTGACACGATTAAAAGTAATTTGCGGCCAAAAACTAGGATCGTTTGAGACGAAAGTCATATTCAGGGATCGGCGTGAGTAGGTTGGTGAACGTATGAAGACGATGTTCGTGCTGGATATTATTCAAATCGCCAGATATTAGATAGATATTAGTTCGAGTTGATGGACGCATTATAACCAAATCTGCAAAGCACCAGCGTCACGCAGAATGTTTCAACGCCAGAAAAGTTGTTGTACAGCAACAAGGTAGCTGTCTTCGATTCAGTCCGCTAGAAGAGAACCTAGCGACATTGTTGTCGTTTGGTCAAGGCTGTTAAGCCGTACCGTGACCAGTAGTATGTCCGGGAATCACGTGAAATGGAAGTCTATGTGGAAGTATTATCTGGTGCAACTTAGTTTTGTCAATCAGTCTAAAGACTCGTACTACTCACGGATGTGACTGCATGGTTTTGCAGATAGGCTGTAGATACGAGATCATGACGCCGCAGATGAGAATCAGTGTGCTTTGTTGTGCATTAGGTGTTTTTTGCAGTGCTGTTACGTCGTTATACACGACACTTTGTTTTTTGTTATATGTAGAAATCAGAGGCCCACAGGTCTTCTGATTCCGCATCAGTCAGCGTAAATGCAAACTTTGTATTCCAACCCATAGGACTGCATATCATCGCATATACACAATACACTTCGGTTCAACTCGTTAGTCCAAACTGTGTCGGTTTTCCACCTCGATTCGATTCGATTCGATTGATCGCCTCCGTGGCGTCATAACCTGCAGCTGGTTCTACTTGACCACTATGATATCCGCTGACAGTGCAGAGACACTCTGGACGTTTTCTCAAGCATTCACATCCTCTTTCCAAGCGTCTTGTTCTGGTAAAGCCCGTCACCTTTACACCTGTCCTACCGACGCTATATAGTCCGTAGAACTTGCCACCCGTCTCAAAGTTGCAGATGCAGGTTCTGTGCACACCATCGCCGGAGAAATACAGGCCCTCAACAAGCGTTTGACCGAAGCCACCGGGAGGCTTCCAAGCTACGATCAAAGACAAAATGAACTGGTGTGTGCCCTGTCTCTGACTTTTGATGTCTGAGCTAATCAAACTGGAAAGCAACTCAAAGCATTAGAGAAGTCGCTCGAGGAATTGCGCTCATCGACCACAGGGAAAACGAAATTCGCTTTTAAACGGAAGGTCAAGATATCAGCGTCAGCATCAGCAGAGACCGCAACGCCACCTACTCCAGTGAATGCACCAGCGATACCTACATCAACAATATCTACTAGTGCCTCCAGAACGATATCCGACCAGTCCAGTTGCTACCTCTCTAGATCGTGCCTTTCTGGTCCCACCTCATCCACAGATCACATAGAGGTGTCTATAATAAGAATATCGAGCAGCATCTTAAATCTTCTTACGACTACGAACGAGTCAACTCTGTCTGCTAATACCGTTTCCCTTTCGGCGCTTCACATCCGCGACATACAGAATTCAATCCTCATTCTAGGGACCGTCGATGGTAGCATCATGTTGCACAACTTAACAAATTGTGTGGTTGTTGCTGGATGTCACCAGGTAGGGTTATGTTGTCCGTGTATGTTATGCTCTACTGTGCTCATGACTGGCAGTTCAGGATGCACAATTCTACTGCTGTAGACGCCTATCTTGACATTACATCGAATCCCATCATCGAAAGCTGTGATCAAGTGAGGTTCGGCGTCTACCCAAACGAGTTAAAGGTCCAATCATTTCACTATTTCATCCATTTAAATGCCAATGTCACCACAGACAACCACTAAGCAGCAACCTCTGGCTACCAAAAACCATACCGAATTCCCTTTCTTGCCCCAGGACTTCTCGCATATTCGCGCCACACCATCACCCAATTGGAGAGCGCTGGAGGAAGACGAGTCAATTCATGATTGGCCCCTTTCAGAGACCAATTACGCTATCCAACTCGAAAGGGCATTGCCCCGTCCTAAAACCTGATGCTTATTGCTGATGGACTTCATATACCCGGGCACGCACGTGGGATCCTAGTAGGTGAAGAAGAAGTTGCTGTCATGATAATGAGTCCCATCAATTGGCTATGTTGACGTCCGGTCAGATGTACTAGGTAGAAGCGAATTGCTTCCGCAAGATCAAATGTTCCGTCCTTACATATGTTAAATTTTAGATATACCGTCGTATAAAATGATTTAAGTGGCTTACCTGTTCTCTGGTTCTGGATCAGTTAGTACTAGTATTTAGCGTACAGGAAAGATAAGGCAAGTTTAAAGAACTCCGGGAGATCTTTATCAATACCATCAGTCCTTGAAACATTTGTCAGTGTACCGCACCCCCGGACAAAAACACCATGCTTGATTTCCCCCTTTGCCAGGTTACGTTGCACATAGGTAAGCTCGTTCTTGATGATGCATTGCGTCATTATAAAGTGGAAGTCATCTCCGACAACGCGAAAGTGAGGCCGAGGAAATCAGATTTCGTGGCTATTGCCTTTTTGGCATCTATCGGTTTTGAATTTCAGAATGCTTATCGTTCCCATCGGTCTGATGGCGTAGTTGGTTATCGCATCTGTCTAACACACAGAAGGTCCTCAGTTCGAGCCTGGGTCAGATCATATTTTTTCCTGTTTGAAGTTGACATGAATAGCCACCTTACCTAAGCTTAGCTCGAACGCTTCCGAGTCTTTCTCCTGGCCGATGAATGCAGCATGAGCACCTATCTTTTCGAGCTCCCAACTACCGGCTCTATCTCTTTTGGAGACTTTTGTGTTGACACTACGGCCTCCAATGCATATGCAAGTCACATAGCTGAGGCTACCCAAGCCCGAGCGAACCTGCGCGGTGTTCTGAAAGTGATCAAACGCACTGACACAGACGAAAAGGATTATCTGCGCTTGATCAAGGTGCGCATCACCGTTTCCAGTCCGGGGCTCGCACAGTATATATCCCCTAGGTTCTCGATGACTACCTCCCATACTTGCATGGGATCATGGCCTGTGTCGCATCAGGGGACATTCGTCTGAAATCCGAACCTCGTGAGTCTTTGGCTGATACTTGATCTGCTGTGCGTTTGACTGACTAGCCTGAGATTCAAAGAATTCAGCTGGCGCACGACACTGTCCGCACATCTATTCCACATGTCCCCAAGAATCGCTCTTGCATCGCTGCATGCGGACCTTGCATCCTCATTGCTCACTTACGCCTTTGCGCTATCGAATTTTGCGCGTGTGACGGTTACAAGTCTCGGTTCTTATGAGCATGATCGAGCGATCTCGGAAATCGAGAGAAAAGCGAAGGATGAGAAGCTCAATTTTGCAGTGACAATGCTGTGCAGAGCGAGCGGGATCTTCACCTATATAAGCGAGAAGGTGTTGTTGGATTGGGATAAAGCCGGGGAGGGTGCATCGGGTAGGCCGCCTGATCTGAGCAAGGAAGTTAATGCTGCCCTCGCAAAGTGAGTGTGCTCCCTCATTTCATTTCATCTCATTTTGGATGTCATTTTTAGGATGACACTCGCTGACGCACAAACTCTGGCGATTCGCAAATTTCTCTCTAAATCTGCATACGACAACGCAGTATCCCCTGGCCCTCCACTTCCTAAATCACACCCCTCTATCCCGCTGATATTCAAATTCCATCTTGAATGCGTGTCGCTTTACTCTTCTGCGCGTACGCTTGCCATGACGCCCGGCTCCGCACGCCCATCTTCCTCGTCTTCTAATCCAGACTCCAATGCAGAAGTCTGCGTTGAGCTGCGCCGCTACCTTGCAGATGCATCGGCGTTTCATGCAGCGCTTGCGCACAAGTGGCTTGGTGTGGATGCAGGAGAAAGTGGAGCGCGCGAAAAGGGTGGGGAGGCGGTGGCATGGTTACTATGGGCAAAGAAGGAGCTTGAAGACATGAAGGAGAGCGGACTTGGTATTGCAGTAGGGCGGGACCGCGAGAAGCGAGAGCGCAAAGGACGTGTCGCGGATGAATTGGAGAGCGTGGGCGTGTTTTTGAAACATTATAAGAAAATCAATGATTCGGTAAGTCGGAGGTGTTTCGATTGCGTGAGATATATTGGGTGTTGATCATCATTTGTATGCGACGGATAGCTGACATTTCAGCCTGTGCCCAAGCAGCAGGACTTGCAAGCACGGATACCTACAGGGATTTTGGCGGTGCATTCAAAGCCCTACAAGCCCCCTTCCCCAGCATTCGGACCTGGTTCCGTCGAACATGCACGTCTACAGACGGAAGCGCTAGCACTACTAGAAGAGGATGATTCGTCGGGTGATGAGGCAGTTGCTAGCAGTGCCAATTCGCGCACGTATGCTGGAGCTGGTTCGTACTTCTAACCCGTTTACAGTCAAGGTCAAATGCTGTCCATATTGCATGTTCTGGTAGGTACAGTAAGGTATGACCAACATACTATATCCACTTCTAAATTAGGTTTCAATGGAATAACGCCCCCTTCTGTCATTGTGCAATCAGTGTTATAAGGCGAGAAGCCGCACTCTTCCGGTTTGAAATGCTCGATGAATGTGAGCGTCCCACCTGCGAGGTATGTGCCAGCACTTGCAATTTTCGTCAGGTACCTGGAGGGCTGAGGAGAACAGCCCTCAAGTTACTACCCTGGAGTGAGAGCCTACCTGACATTCTGGCTCCTGAATTCATGAACACCGTAAGCACCGTTCTCAAAAACGAGGCCCCTGCTCCACTCCACGGTCTCAGCTGGTCTAGCTTGTCGCATCATCATGATATAACAGGTGGCAGACGGGGTCTTGGCATGATGGAATACCCTGAACTCGCGCGCTGACTTGTGGTAGACATGAAGCTTGCTCACGCAGCAGAACATGTTGTACTGTACTAGCTAGGCAGCGAGATCTCGAGATGCACCACGATTCCTTGCCTCCAAGTGATTCCATGGGCATGTCCAGCGCGTTGTATTTTGACTTGACCTGGAGTGAGAAGACAACAACCGCGATCGATCATCACCTGCTACCATACACAATTAAAAATTTCCGCGACCCAGACTTACATGGTGCATCTAGTTTATGACCAGGACTGATCACAGCTATTCCGTTACTCTAGGTTCCCATCGGCACATGCAGTGATCCTGCCATCTGTCAACCGTCAGCGATGACCTGTCCATGTCAACGATCAATCGACATGCGTCTTCTCAGTTTGTCAGTTGATCAATCCAGTCCAATTCAGTCAACAGCGCTGTCCACACGATTTACGTACGGACAGGGATAGTTCACAAAAAGGTAGACCCTTCAAGAATCACTCGCATCCATAGTGTTGACATTTCAACTTCAGGGCCAAATCACGAAAGTTAGCTCCATTCTGATTTCAGCCATAAAAATCACAATTCTCACTTACCCTTCCATCACTTCCTTAGACACGTCAAACGCGGCCGCCATTATTGTCAATGTGTGTCTTAGATCAGCGAGTACTGTGACCATAAAGGAAGCCACAAGAATGGAATGGTATAAGGTACTTTACGACAGTGTAATGCCCACGATTGGAACAAAAGTGTAATTACGATGGTATGCGGAAAGGCAACCACAAAGGATGGGTTTCAATCGGGGGTCTTTGGACTATTTTGTCCAATGCGCCGACGAAGACAAAGAGCAGTCTTTGTGTACGGTAGCGCCTTTTACGAACTCTATAGTGCTCAGTATCCATTTGTAAATCAAGTTGAAATGGAAATGACGTCCTCATACACGTTGGGATATAATCCCTACTGTAACGGCTCACACCGAAAAGCTAACAATCGGTCATGTCATTCGGCGTCGTAAGATGGGAGGCCCCACTTCCCCGGCTTGAAATGCTCGATGGACGTGAGCGTCTCATCTGAGACGTATGGACTGGCACTAGCAACGTCCAGAAGGCGTTCGTCAGGTACCCAAACGACTGAAGAGAACGTGAGGCTCTAAATTACGACTCTGAAACAACAGCCTACCTGACATTCCGGCTCTTTTACCCGCCTGGACACCGTAAACGGCGTCTTCAAAAACAAGCCCTCTGCTCCTTTCCACAGCCTCAGCCTCGGTGCACTGCTCCGTAGTGCCAACTGCCTTGCCCAGGACACCTGCGGCATGCAGGAAAATATACGGGTCAGGCTTCCCCGTAGTCCTGCCTGCTACATCATCAGCGCAGACGATGTTGCCTTGAAAGTAGTCAAAGAATTCTTTGAGATTCTCAGATTTGCGTTCAAAGTTCCGTCGTGAGGAAGCAGTGGCGACTACGATTGGCACGTTGTGTTTCACCAGGTGCTGGGTTAACCTCTGTACTCCCGGGAGGAGCTGCACGGTTGGCCACTTCGCATCTTGCTTCTCTTGGGACTCCACGAGGTACTGGTCGATTGTGATATCGATTCCGGGAAACAAAGAGAGCAGGTGCGTCGCAGATTCAACTCGTACTGCAATATGGTTTGCGTTGAATGAGTTTAGAGAGATCGGAGAGCGTACGTTTGCCCATGAGTTGCGCCTTGATGTCCCATGTCATGGTCTTGCCGTAGCGGCCCAGGATATCATCTTGGAGTCTATGTGAGCAGCATAAAGAAGCGCAGTGACATGGGGCATACTGGTGACTTCGGTATATACCCTCTCCGTGTCAATGAGCAGACCTGTCAAAGACGCGTTTGGCCCCAAGTACCCAGGGAAGTTAGATCCACGCACCATCCATATCAAAGACCACATAATCTATTTTTCTTTCCATCTTATCTATGATGATCTGCTGGATGAAATCAAACACGATCAAGAGACACGCTGATGTACCGATGCGGCACTGTTCTGTTCTGAGTTCATGATAGTCACGTAGAAGGGCTCGGGATTCGGCGTGGCCAAGCAGCGATTCAGATGGCGGCCCTCATGCATAAGTTCATGCGCCGGCACTAGCAACACTATGTAAGCGAATGGCCTCGAGCTCGGTGAAACGCCGTGACAGACACATGTGGGAGTGTACGTGTACTGAGACTCACCAGATCCTTGAAGCGGTCTCGTTGCAGAAAATTATACTCGGCATGATATGATTAGAAGAGCCCGTATCGCGAGACACTGTGGACCTGTTCTGTGTGACACGTATCAATGTATCACGGTCGATGTCAACGCCAGCTTCGACGCTCTTTGAGGTCCGCTCCCCATCCTTTGAGGCGGGGAATTGCCTTTTTAGGCAACGTCCGACTTGAGCACACGTCGGCACGATCGATCAGCTTGAGTTATTCCTATATGTACAGCCTGAGGCCTGAGGCCGTGGCCAGCTTGGTACAAGCCTTATAAAATTACCTTGTGATAATTTTGAGGCAGGCGTCAAGGTGGTCGGCTAAAAGGAGGTAGGTATTGCCGCAGGCGGCACCGAACATTAGGTTCTCACAAGCCGGGCCATTCCTCGGAGGCGTCCATAACGTGCACAGCACTGAACAGACCCACGTCAATTTTTCCCGTCATAAGCCCGTTCATGCGCTGTTCTCCACGGATAAGTATATAGTCTGAACACTGGTCTCCGCGTTCATTGTATTTCAATCTGGTCTCGGTCGATCTTGTCCATAACTGCCCGAGAACCCGCACTCTTTCAAATTCATTACTAGCCCTGCGAGTGTGCCAGCTCGCCAAGTGATTCATCGCATTGGAACCACCGGGTTCACACTTGAATTCACTGTATTACCAAGTCGTTGCAACAGGATCTACGTCTCCTCAAACGACAAAATGGCAAACGACTCAATCCCACGTCGCCCTACATGCTCATTCTACCGTCGTCGCCGCATTCTCCTCATTCCGGCACTTCTATTCATTTTCTACCTGTTCTTTAGCACACCATGGTCCCTACCTCCTCTCAATCTCTCGGGAATATCTTCGTCGCTTTCACGTGCCAATATCGCTTCACTAGTGAAGGGCCCACCAGTGGAGGAGATATATGGCTTGCTGCATTTTGTGACGAGCGATGACGATCGCATGCTGTCACATTCAGTAAACCCCGCTGCGCCGATCGATCTAACTGTGTATCTTGGTGGTGACCAACCGAATTGGAAATCTCATATGAGAAGGCTGAGAGAGGAGTATCCCCTAATCGTATTCTCGAAGGTATGTCGTGCGCTTCGATTCACCGGATCCTGTGTTCTGATGCTGTGTCTGCATCAGTCATATTGCCCGTGCGTTCTCTTCTTTTGCAATTTGTGATTCATGTGGTGGCCTCATGTACTACGTTTCCGGTTCTATGTAGATTTTCAACGAAAGCTAAGAAGCTGTTGGAATCGTATAATCTTTCTCCCCCACCTAAAATTATCGAAGTTGATCTTCGAGGTATGTCGTGGCTGTGCTTACCTCCATGATGCATATGCTGATCTTTTACAGATGATTGGGACTTCATAAAGCTCATCCTTACTCGTCTTACCTGAGCATTCCACGTTCCCTAATATCATCCTGAATGGGCAAGGACTTGGCGGAAATGACGACCTGCACACGTTGCGTGCACAAGGCAAGCTGAAGAAGATGTTTGAGAATGCTGGGATGACGGTAAGGGAGGATACCGTGAAGGAACAAGAGACGCAGTAAAGTTGGCGATGTTCACGTCATCGTGTGATGAAATGGTGCACACTCGGTAACTGCTTGAATGGAATTGAATTCTGTATTGTTACATATTTATGTGTACTGCTATTATGTTGTCTTGTTCATCCAAGTAGGAGTTTGCGGTTGATCTATTTCTGGGTTTTATGTTTATGTGACCATACGATATCCCGGTTATACAATTACATGTGTGTCCAAGAGCATTGAATTGGTTGCCAGCCAGCAGGAGGCATACAAGGAAGACAGGGACATGTCCCTGAGCGAAAATAGCTGGCAGTGCGGGCGCCTGTGGCAGTCGGCTTCCAATGACCTTTGTGCCAAAACATTAAACATGCCACCGCTCACGGCGTAGCCCGTTTGAACCACTGATCGGAGAGAGAGACCATATGGTCAGCGTCATAAATTATGCGGGCTAGACAGATTTTCGACAGGTGCTGTATCGATAAGATAACAAGGGCGTTCAAGGTTTTCATGCACCATCCAGAGAGCTGCATAGGGAATAAGTAGTATGATTAACCCGCCTCCTGTGCCCGAGCGCTGAGTCCTGACGGCAGCCTGTGACACGTTTGGGTAAGAAGTTACTTTGATGCGGCGATAATCCAGGTCCACGCCCAACGACGAATATAAGGCACATACGATAAGCATCTTATGGGGATCTGTAATATGGCTGATCACTGGGACAGCGGCGTATCTTGTCAAGCCCTGGGCTACGCTCAGCGGCGAGGTAATGGCACCATCATGATATTCCCACGTTTATTCGGAGATCCATGCTGACCGTCGTGAATTTGTTGTCTGCGCTATGGCAGGCCGATAAGCTATATTGTGAAAATCGGGCGTTTTACGGAGTGGGTTGCCAAATAAGGGATCAACGGAATTTCCGTGTGACCAAAAAGGGTCGAGCCGAGGAGATTCTAGATCAATTTAATGGGGGTTTATGTGAACACGTTCCTTTCACTTTTCATTGTTTCGGGTTGCACTGATCCACTCTCGGCCTCGCTTTTCGAATTAAAACTTTCATTCTTGCCATTCGTTTATCTAGGAACTTCTAGTTCTTCCACTCTCTTTTACCTTTCCCTGACCCACGTCGTCGGTCACCATGTCAACACTCACCGTCACCTCCCTTCTGCACTCACTGCAGCACCACGAAAACCACTGAACCAGAGAGCCACGTCGCTGGCTCTCATTGGCCTTATCGTTGTATCATTCTATATCTTTTTTGTAGCAAGGCCTTCACTAGAGCTTACTCCAATAGCACTTCGGACCGACGCCCTCGGTCATGCAAGTGCACATGGATCATTTCCACAAGACAAAGATGATCCCCTACCATCGTCTAGACTCTTCCGTCTACCTTCAAATAGCCAAAGAAAGAATGTAGTCAGCAATACCAATCGTCCCCAAGTCCGGTTAGACGAATCGCAGGAGCTAGCAGCAGTAGCAGCTTTCGTAGCAGCACTCCCACAGAACATGATACCACGCTCAATAGACCCAAGCAAACCCATTGACCCCCAACTCGTGCTTGACTTCGACACTCGTAGTCCGCGTGCAGCAGATGAAGTAAACCAGATCGTGCAAGATGTGTGGTCTCGCTATCCCGTTATGATGTTTACCAAAGTCAGTCGCTTCTTCGACTTCCTTTGTTCTAGTCTTATGCTGACGCTTCCTGCTCGTCCCAGGTTCATCATGCACATTCTAGGGAAGTAAGACGTATCGTTTCAACTATGGACTTACGGCCACCTCCTGTGGCTTTTGAAGTCGATCAACGAGGTAAACGAGTTCCCTGACTTTGATTTACTAGTTGCTCACGATTTCCCACGTCTTAGAGGATGCAGAAGTTTTGATTCCTTTGTTACACCGACTCACGTCTTCAACCGATCTTCCTCTTATGCTTATTGGGGGCAAACCCGTTGGCTCGATGGAAGCTATCCGCGAGCTCAACGAGTCCGGCGAACTCCAGAAGTTGATTTCCGATGCCGGTGCGGTCATTGACAGCTCGAAGAAGAAGAAGGGACACTGAGGGACAATACTTTTCAATTGAACTTTTCCCATCACTTCTCAAAATGACCTAACGACCGGTATGACCAGCATGCTTCCCGGCGATCGTATGATCCAAAACTTATGCATATGTACATACCACATCGGATAACCCCAGGTGGATGGATATTCAATCGCTATCGCATGCCATAAAACTCCAACTGTTGTCCCTCGTTTATTTCTCGTGGTGGATTATTATAGCTCACTTTGCTTCTTGCTTTCTTCTGCATAATAGATTCCATCAACATCAACAGGATTGGCCACAAACATAGACTTTGATGGATTTTTTTTACATAACAAGTTTTTCTTGTATCTGCCATGTTCGTGTGTACGTAGAGGCCAGACAGTACTTAGTAACTGCTCTAGTTTACATGTACATATATACTGGGGGATCATTCAACGCTCAATTGGCAATCAGTTGATTGGGTTTCTTCTTTCTAGCCAGGGCCCTTGTCGGAGTACTAGTAGCTCCAGAGTCCAGACTCTTCTAGCATGGGAATCTTTGACAATCGGATCTTCATCAGCGCTTGGAGTATCACGGAGTTCTTCTAGAAAATCTATACTTGGGTACGCACGAAGCTCAAGTTTGTTCTCCAGCTGCGTGCCTCAGGCTACTTTGGTCAAAGTGACGCAATTGAGGTGGCTTCACGGCAATCACAAAGAACCGAAAAAGTTTTTAACTCAAAGGTTGGATAATGCAAATTGGGGTTGCAACGAGGCAGCATTTAGAAGGTCTCCCGACTAGAGTGTTAATGACTTGACGTCTGACTTGCTTGTGCACCTCGTGCCACTAGCCATGGCACGGCGTTAGTTCGAATTGTGCGGACATGGCGTCAGAATCGATACCGTAAACACGCCTCGAGCGCTAATCAGCGTACCGGATGACCAGTCTGACTCAGACGTGAGAAACACTAGTTCGGGGATGAACGACTTTGAAAAGCAACTCGATATTATGAAGCTCCACTGGCAACGGATGATAGATATCTGGCCGCCAAAGACAGTCAGAAGCATGTGATGATAACCTGGTATGAACGGGCAACGTGGGCAAAAATGACTTCATTGAAGTGCATGACACTCTTTGTACGTATTGACAATGTCTCCACATACTTTCCATGGACAGGCGGCCCGTACATACACACGACCGCCAGTCTTGCACGGGCGTCCGATGTTACCGACGGAAGTTACGAAACGCCCAAATAATTCGTATGACAACCGATAGATGCATGCCTGTACGTTGGAACTTTGTTTGTCGATAATAAAATACAGCGACGCGATTTGTTGCAAGGTTATCATGTCAACCAAGAAGAGCCTTCGACGTTTTCACTTGACAAATTCGAATAACGTTACGGTCAGACTGGATCCCACAGCGAGGTAGGAATTATCACATCGCGTTTGCAGTGCAGTGTCGAGGGTAGTCGGCATAGTACCACGCTCGGTTCGTGCCCTAGTGGATGCAATTACACTGCCTCGTGCAGAGGATGATGACGTTGATTTATCATTTGCCCCATTGGGGGTTCTGCTGCCTGCGACAGGTGCATTTCTCAGGTAGTCGAGGTCCATCAGGCGCAGGAGACGTAATTTTGATAGCAAAGATGCAAGACTTCAGAGAACTGGCTTCGTCGAGATCATCGAGTCATCCTACATATGTCAAAGGGTGAGAACAAGAAAGAAATGGACATCAGAACCGAAAAAATACACTTTCTTCGGTGTCAACATCAGGGTCATTCTGCTGTTGACAACAGAGTTCTCGAGCTTGTCCGTGGAGGCGGTACTTGCAGGAGCCGCGGGTGTAGTGGTGTGTCAGAAATTAAATGCATTTCGTCAAATGCGTGGCTTGCATCAGACCATCTCTTGGAAAGTTGCTGTGACCCAGCCAACTAAGTGTTTGCCCACATAGCTACGAAAAATCCAGGAGCCTTTAGAAGCCTTCGAAACAAAATGATAACAACTTGCCGCATACTTCCGCCGCAAGTCCGGGATATCAACATGTGATGGTGGAGCCTGGTAGCAACGCCTAAGCGAGGTCATCTAACATATGTCGAATCAGGATATGCCGGCGGGTGGACCGCAAGTATGTCGCAAAGCGAGTATCAACTAGATAGGCTTCAAGTGTCACGAATAACCGAAGCTTGCACGATCCGCCGGGTGATCATATGTAGCGCATTCAATGCTCCTGTGTACGTACTGAACTTTGAAGTGCCGAATCGTTGCGATCCACATGATACATTGTGTGACCCGAGCAATCTTCCGGTATGATATTGGAAGTTGAGAGAAAATCATTGGCGTCGCACCGCAGAAGTCGCTCCTAACGTCATGGACGGGCACGATCAGACGGGAGAAGATAAAAGATAACATCTACAGCGAATCAAAAACGTGCATGGCCAGTGATAGCAGACTCACCGAAGCGTTCACTTGCTTGACCGAGTAGCTCGTCCCATCCTGATCTGCTCATTGCAAATGACTCCTCCTAATTCCGACGTAGCAGATTATGACGTATGCAGTGCCCCAGAATCTTTAGTGATATCTGTATTCTTGCCTTCAGAAGCTTCTATCACCGTGGTGGCGTATTCGGGTGCGATGTGCTCAGCTCAATTATTGAAAACCCGTGAGTTCGCCGGGAACGTGCTGCCTTGGTTGATATACATGACAAGACCATTGTCACGAGCTAAGCTGGCGAATCTGGATGAGATGTGTAGCCTTGGTGCAGGATTAGTTGTGGTGTGGCGGATGAAACGAGATCCGTCCGATGATTCTTTTCTGTTAATGATATATCACCGACACCTGTGAGTGTGGCGCAAATGGCCTGTCCTGGAGAAAGTACAACATGTAACTGTACTCTGGGATCTGGCTGGAATCTGGCTCGCACGTATGACGCCTGTGTTGTGTTGCGGCCCTAACTAGTAGTTATCATAGGGCTTGAACGTTAACTTTGAAAGCAATAGATTTGCACGTGGCTGTGCAATCCCATCGTCAATTCCAACTTGCACCGTGGTCCGTGGCACTGTACGACCCCTTAACGATAAACAGTGGAAACATCATGCCGGTCTCATGCAGTGTACCATATTAGGCTTCGGGGGGCATAAACTCGCTAGCAAATATATGCGGCGTCGTCCAGGTCACTGAGGTCAGCGACATACAGAAGATACAGTTAAAGGAGAAGGCCAATTTTCTAAAGAGCAGTGACGGTTCAATTGATGTACCGGAATGATGAGAAAACAACCCAAAGGCGAAGTTATATTTTCGTTGTTGTTATCAAGGCACCGTGCTATTTAAAACGGAGATGGAGAGTGACCCCACAGGGGAGTAAGGAACTGTTCCGAGTGGAATGGAGGGTAGACATTAGGTGGATTTCATCGAGGGCATGTGCTTTCATCGGACCAATCGAACCGGTGCCATTGCCCCTGACTATTACCTAGTCAACTAGCAAAAAACTTGCCATAGGACAAATTTAGGAACCTTCACAAAAGGGGACCACAGCCTGCTACATTGACGTACCCATTTACTGTCACCTCTGGGTTTCCTAATGACTCAGAGTCGTCGACGATAACCCCTAAGATACAGTCCGGGACCACAAGTTCAGGGGCGCGAACAGCATTAGGCTGATAGTTGTAACGCTGAAGTGACTGTATACACGACGCTATGATCAGGATAGAATTCCAGAGTATGCCAGATAAGGATGTCGTGAAGTGGTTCCATGGTATAGTCGATATTAGCGCTAGCGAGATACCGCTTTGCGGATCAGGTAGCCATTATCAGTGCGGCATTGTCCCACAGTACTACGTACTTACTGGTACATAGTGCCCCATTGGCAGGCTTGATCTAAGTCGCTGAGATGCATGCTTCAATCGCGCAAACCAGACAACTACTGCCGCGTATCCGAGTTAGCTTGGACTTGGATATGGACTAGTGTTCAAGATGTTTCAGTAGGGACACGGAGAAGTTGATTGCGCGGCAGGGTCACGGCGAAAGAACGGGAAGAAGCGAATCATAAATCACCAGCAATGGAAGGCTCACGAAATGGTTCACTGCATAACGGAGTACACGTGAATTTGCCCGCCCATGCTGTCTCCGCATTGCAGATGAATTTTCCTCAGCATTAATTCCGACGTACGATACCCCTGGCTCTTGAAGGTTATTGACACGGGCGCCTATCCCGTGATGGCGGACTTATGCACTGACACTCAAAACCAAACGATCATGAGTGGGTTGCAGAAATCTCACGCATCTTAGATTCATCAGAAAGGTAGCTCACGCCAAATGACTGTGCTCACAAGTTATTATATAGTGGGAAGACCCAACCTTCTGATTTCAATGTCTACACATTAGAGCTTCGCCATCGTCTTCACGCCCACCAAACTTTCGATGTCCCTGTACTTATAGTACAACTTAAGTGACTCAGGGTTTGCCACAGTCCCACTCGGCTTTAGATCGGACCCCGAAACAATCTGCTTCACCGCAATCTCAATTTTCTTGCCGTTTACAGTATACTGCACAGGCATCAGGATCGTTATGTTCACCGAGTAAGCAGCTTACGTACCGGGATATCTGTGGTATCGAACACGTAGGCTGGGACGTGTCTCGGGCTAAGACTAGTCCTGATCGCGCTTTTAATGCGGTCAATGAGGGCAGGTGTAAGCTTGTGCCCTGAGCGCATCTTCAGAAAGAGCAGCACACGCTCATCAGGGTCTTGTGTCCTTCGCTGGCCCACACACAACGAGTCATCGAGCTCGTTGGAGAAAGACTCTAGGACAGTGTAGATCTCCGCTGAGCCAAAACGGACACCAGAGGGGTTGAGTACACCATCGCTGTGGAAATGATTAGATCAACTTGCATATGACAAGGCATAAAAATAGCCAGTACCTCCGCCCTAAAAAGATGAACCCTGTCGTCTTTGGATTCTTGACTACAAAATCGCCTTGACGCCAGACTCCTGTGCCCCGCATCAACGTAAACATGCACGTCAATATCTGGACGAAATAAGGAGAGCTTACCTGGGTACGTGTCGTAATATGCCTGGCGAAACTTTTTGCCAGACTCATCGCCCCAGAAACAAACAGGTATCGAGGGATGCGGACGGGTGATGACGAGCTCACCAGGTTGACCTGTGTTCTCAATGTTCTTGCCCGCGGGATCGAATAATTCAACAGCCATGCCGAGAGACTTGCCTTGAAGTTCTGTGTGGAACGCACAGTTAGTCCAAGTTAAGAGAATAGCACTTCGGACACAACCTCCAGCATGTAGTGGGAAACTCGACACGCAAGAGACAACTGAGGAGTGTTAGTTTAGGTATATAGCAAGCGGCGACACAACGGAAACTCACATGCACAGAACACGTCTGTCCCTCCAGAAGACGAACCTATATGCAGCTTCCTACCAAACGCCTCGTGCGTCCACTCCATCAAAGGTGCAGTTATTACAGCTCCTGTGACGGTCATCTCACGAAGAGCTTCAAAGGATGCAATTTCAACTACAAAAGTAATTAGCATCAACTCTCAAGGCTATGATCCGATCATACGCGGCTTGATATCCCTCATCTGGACTTCTGTCAGGAAGCGTGGACTTGTGCCGAATACCGTGACACTAGAAGAGAAAAAGTTTAGTTACTGATGATCTACGCTCGTTACTGTCTTCGCACCCTTGGTCATTAATGAACCTGAGATAACCCCTGAGGTCAGGATGGAATGGTGACCCATCGTAGAGGACAATGCGTGCACCACATGCAAGACCAGAGAGCATGAATGGCCACATCATCCAGCCCGTCTTGTATGGGTATGAGCTGATCACTTCATGCACAGCATATGTATATGGAATTGCTTACCGTAGTGTATTGGAAATAGACATCAGTCGGGAGGATGCCGAAGCCAACCATGCAGTCCTTCTTGCTGTTCACGAGGGCGCCCTGCAGAAGGAGATAAATAGCAGAATATGGCACGTGAGTGGGAGGCGTACTCCACCGCAGTGGACTATGCATTTCGGCGGACCGCTTGTCCCCGAGGAGTATAGGATGTACAACGGGTGACTGAAAGGTAACTGCTCAAATCCCAGTGGTCGACCATCATCTGATGTAAGGAAAGAATCCAATGTAACACTAAACAAAGGCCAAGTAGGAACACGCGTTAATTGATGAGAGTCGTGGACAAACCTGTTGGGTATATTTAAAGACTCTGGGACAGTGTTTCCGGTCTTTACACTTGGCAATGTAATGATGCGCTGTACGCCATATGCGCGGAGATCCTGCTCCACTTCCGAAGCCTTCTGCACTAGGCTGACTGTCTTCCCCGCGTAAACAATCTCCGTTTCTGTGAAAATGAGCTTTGGTTTGATCTGCCTGTACCTATCAAGTATGCCCTAGTAAAGGTGGAACGTCTTGCGAGTCTATGAGAGATACGATAAGGCTGACCTGGGTACCCATGTCAGTTGCGGTACTGGAGAATATTGCCCCTACACTGGAAGCCGCAAGAGCAACTACCACAGCGGTGATGGAGTTGGTGATGATAGCTGCGACCATTCAGAGTTAACAATCTGTGGCAAATTCTACAGGCACTTCCTTCGCTCACCCGCAACCCTATCTCCAACCTTCAATCCATTCGCGCGCATTGCGGCTGCCATTTTGCGCACCATCTCTCTTAGCTGGTGGAAGGTATAATGTGTCACAACTCCGAGTTCATTGCCTGCTGTACATGCGATACCATCGTCATCTCGGTAGAGAAGGTTTTCCGCGTAGTTGAGGCGTGCTCCGGGAAACCATTCGGGTACTTCTTCGTATTTGCCCTTTTGGACTATCTATAGTGATGTTCGACATCACAAAGAAAGAACGCTGACATGAGTTGACACACCTTTGTGGGATCTGGGGGGACAGAAGACAAAATACCCATAAACTGCCAGAGGTCAAGCCAGAAGGTGTAATTAGACACCGAGTATGCATGCAGGTCATGGTAGTCCTCTACAGCACGAAGTCCAGTCAGGCTCTCGTTCTATGAGAGACACACATCAACGCACTGAGCTTCAGGTTGTGCTTGAGGTTAATTTCACGCCTTAGCTTCTCGCAGACGACATGAGACGGGTAAGCAGGTGTCCAGATAAGGCGTGACTGGTCGAACTGAGCACTCATTGGCAATTGCAGTAGACTTCAATTAATTTGCAGTGCAAGTTGGGGATATCTAGCCTGCAGGGGAATCTCGGGTTGTCCGCGCTCAGCTTGAGCTCCAACCTGGGAAATAGCGATAGATTCCGCTGTCACGGTAAGAGGCAAATTTAAGTACCTACATTCTCAAAATTTTCCCAGTGACTTGCATATCTAAGTAAGAAGATCACGAGCTCAAAACGCACCTAAACAAGGATCCAGTAACTTGAAGGTGACGGGACTTTTGCAACTTTATGTGACAGTCTGAGCGACTTCAAGAAATATGTTACTCAAAACTGCACCTGCTCGTCTGTGCCTGTCACCACTAATTGTCGCATCTCTCTACTTGTCTACCGCGGTTTGTACTGGTCTGAATCGGTGAGTCAATTTTCACGTCCATTGTGTTGTTCGACGTTAATGTTCACTCTCGTTTGTATTCCGACAGTTTCGGCGACATTCTCGCATGTTTGCACTCATTTCGTGCGAGCTTGAGACAACGCTGATATACTTCAAGAAGGCGATTGTCCTCCTCGCTACAAGTGGTGTTTTCGTGTCTGTGCGAGCTTCATCACTTGCTCCATATTGTCTACTCTTTATATCTCTCACCCCCCAGCTTGTCCCAGAACTCATTCTCCGGCAACTCCACTGTAGGTTCAAGCTCAGCTGCGCTCAACAAGGGCAAGTGCGTAACATTGTGCAGTGCTCTCATCCGAGTCATCCCGGCAGATCCTACAAACCAATTCAGATGCGCTCAAGAGTCAACACCATTTCCCTGACACTCGATCACTGTGTTTGAAGCATGGACTCACAGCACTCGCCGGATTTGACTTGTCTTGCGAACGGCAGCCATACACCTTGTACTCCTGTTGTTCAATACGCTCTCGCTCTGGACTCTTTTCATAGATCCTGGACGCAAGCTAGTTATCTTTTTTGACCGCCCATGTGTCATGTATTGCTCTCAAATTAGTCTACTGTAATCCTGTTCATGATTGTCAGTATCTCAAATGGCGTTTTCAGTGTTTCGAGGAGAAGTATCAGTATCACGATCTTTGTCATCAATCTGATTGAAAACGCTGAAAAATGTCACTTTCACTGTTCTAAACACTGAAATTTTGCATATCTTATCTTCTGGTTCTGACGCTGACTGCGGTTCAAATATACAAAGCCGTGAAAGTCAGTGTTTTTTTTTCATGTACAATATACCGACGGCTTTACAAATCCTATTTAGTACCTCGTATCATTACCCCAAGTTTAGTAATGATACTTGTATCAAGCTCTTCAATACGTTTTGCCAGGTCCTCAAAGACTTTCCTCATATCCTTCCCCTGCTCCTCGATGAGTGAATGGTGGTAAGATAATTTTGCCTCTTGACTGTCCGACTTCGTCATCAAGGTTTCGATATTCGTCTCCTGCTTGACCATCTTCTCGATCAAGGTGTGGAAATAGCCGTCAACCTTGGATTCCAGCGCCTTCAAGGCCAGCGCCTGGTTGTCCTGGCTACTATGGTGGCCTTCGAAGGTGGTCAACACCAAATTTAAGACTCGTGTTTTATCAGTACTCACTCGCAGCATCCATTGACATGCGGTCCTGTAAGCTGTTCCACTCAATTGAGTTTTGGTCACCCAATGATCGGGGGATACTGTCGTGTGGGCTATAGTTGGCTGCTAGCGCGGCCGTCACTATATGTAGTAGTAGTTTGGATAGATGAATACTACGAACTGTGATTTTGAGTGCAAGTGGCGGTAGTCATACTGAAAATTTTCTTGTAGATAGCGACAGTGAAAGTTTGAAACTGACCTACGCGTAGGCCGCGTAGCTATTTCGACGCAGTCCTGCCGTGGTCGTGACCTGCATGGCATTGATGCCAGCGTTCCTATGTTCTACATTCGACTCCTACATCAAATTCATGACCATTCCTTCGTTGACTTTATTCACAAGGTGGCCGCGTCAAGGCTTGTCAGTCCAAGAAAATAGTTATTGACTGATGCTAACTAGCTACATCAACCAATGTCTATTTTCTTTTTGTCCCTCTCTGGATCCTCTTCGAAGCACAGCGACGTTTCACGGGCACAATTTCTTCTTCAACAGGCAGCGAAGGAGCTACGACGTCGGACAACTCGTCTACAGATGTGGCATCAGAGTTATCGTTGAATAAGGGGTCACACTGTCAATCACACCAGTTAGAGACTTATTGAACGGGGCAGGTAATATTTTCCTTACTTCAAGTTCACTCTCGCTGTAATCTCTTCCCAGAACCCACTCATCAGGAATGTTGAGATACACATTCCACCGCCTGTGATATCGACCAGCATCCAAACCCCACTGCTAGTTGCCTGCAGGTCCTGCTTCCTCAGAATCTTCGAACATTCTTGCTTCTAGTGTGGTCAGACATTCGAGGTCTACGTCAGTCACAAAGTTGTCGGCAGGATAGCTTATCATGAGATCAGCCCAAGCCATCTTCAACAGCTCGCTACCGTTCCATTCCTCGTTCCGAGCTTGGACGTGTTTTAAATCACCAACCTTTTACCCATTCTCCAAGCTACACAATACTTCATGTTAAGCGCATTAAGAACACAACTGGAATAGACCCGGTCACGTTCCTTCATGCAAGCACTCCCAGCCTCTTCCGAAACTGCCGCATCCGAGTGCAACAGTATCCTGCCATTACCAAGGTTTGACCCCATAAAAGATTCCTCGACATTAATCTACTTCAATTCAACCCGCACTCCTCTCATTTACTTCCCCTTGTACCTTATACCATAGGATGTCCAACTGCTCATTCTCGGAAAGTGATGCCCATCAAGAAGCAGCTCGGCTAACTTTCCCTTTTATTTGCAAAAATTTCCCAGGTTGGTCAGGCTTCTCCCCCCATCCGTGCATTTTATTTACCTTCAGCCTTTAGAATTATCTCGTACTCCAGGACCTTGCGTAATACCTCCTCCTTTTTGGGTGGGTTCCAATGCGAGCCATGGCCCATACCGTGCATTGCATATGGGCTAGTCAGATGCCCTATCAGGGTTAGGCTTGTAGGTTAGTTGTTTTTAAATGACTAGATCAAACATTGAAACACTTTCTCAGAGAAACCCTTCGATACTCTACCATTCTATCTCTTCCCGTGGTTCACGACACAAAACGCACACAACGCATTTTCACCCAACTAATAGACATTAAAAACCCACCGCATTCATTGTATCATTTTCAGCATCCATGAACCAATTTTCTTGTTTGTTCACCAATGGCGGCGCCCATAGTGTCTGGGAGTGGCGATTGGGTTCATCAAGCTGTACTCGCACTGTATCCTGCCGGTGATCCTGATTGACCCTGGCCTCTCAAGGCCTTCAAAATTTAATCACAACTTCCCCAAGTATTCCAAATCTCTCGTGATGATCTTCATGCTGCAAAGTCATGGGCTGCCTCCGCAGAACGGGTGAACCACTACATTGATCGCGTATGAGACCATATTTAAATTCATTGGTCAGCACATTGCTCTTTTGTTGTCTTCCTCCCACCATTTCGATGTGGTTAGGGAGGCTACTTCATCCCTGGCAATGGACGCTTTCTCGCGCAGCTCTGGCACTCGTCAAGGTGCATTCAACTGCTGTAGGACTGGTGGAGCAAGACCATCCTCCGAATTCTAGTCGCTCACATCGTGATGGATCTTTTGATCACCGACTGAATTTCACAAACTTGTTGACGTCCTACACAAGCTGTGGGATAGTATTGTTGACTCCATCCTTCTCAGGAAGTCCATTCCCTGTGACCACGCGTCTGGTATCCTATCGTCGAGTTTACGTTACTCACTTTACATGCATAAGGGCCATATGAGCCGAACAAGCATGATATCTCTCACTTGCAAATCCTACACCCCAACTTTGGCGGCACTCGTTCGCGTGAGGCAACAGCCTTAAACCTGGCCACAGGCGATCACCTTTGGTGTGTCGCTGCTGAGCTAGATGCTGTCGCTTAGCATGTCGCGCTCATTATATCCTTCACATCGCTCGCGGACGGCAATACAACAGCCCAAGGGACGTTGGATATATTGAGCCAAACAGTGGCTTCACCTGGCCTGCCACGCATTGCCGAATTCAAAACAGCCATTCGAGTCTTTCGCCATGCACGACAGGCCTTTATATGGTCAACGACAAACTCGCCTGCAGAATCCGGAATTTGCATTCCTGTCGGCTTGTCATACTACCAAGTGGGCGTTCTGTCAATTCCCGATGAGTCGATTCATCTCGCTGCGGTAATGCAGTTCTCCGGATTTCGCAGTGTGGTTGGATCTATGTGGCCCGTTGATGATGATGTTGCAGGCTAGATCGTCTCTCTTTCCTACGAAAGCCTAGCTGATCCGTAATGAGAACATATATAACCAAACGACGGAAGGAATAGATTAATCAAGATAGGTCATCGTATCGCACGAACACCTTGCAACAAGACACATGAAGTAGTTGCAGCGGTGTACAGTGGCCAACATTTGTTCGGCGAGATCATATTGAATACATCATATAAGAAAATGGTGTTTACGAATTGCTTCCGCGGGATCTCCTTATAATATGTAGATGGGGACGATGAGCATGAACAAGCGGAGTACACCACAAATACAGGGAGCTATGAAGGACGAAAGCAAGGAATCTAATGGCCCGAAACACAGATACTCAAGCGCTCAAGATTGAACAAAGGCCTCCCATAACACGATTTTCAGAATGGTGCTGAGTCTACGCCGGATTGGAGAGCATGGTTGATTATGCATCTACAAGCGACGTTATAGAACTATCCTTTGCTGTAAGCTATGAGAACACGTACTATTTACTTTTGGCAGCAGCCCGCAGAGCACGCTTTTGAGCTCTCGGCCGCCTCACGGACGAGTGTTCATCGCTGCTACCAGAAGGGTCGGAGTGCCTTTTGTCATTCTTTGCCTGCTTCTTGGCTTTGTGCTTTTTAACTGCACGAATAAATAACATGATCATGACGGTATGAGGATTAAGAGTAAGAGGAGTACTGGTAAAGAGTGTTTCAATATATACTTATCGTCAAGCCCCTGTCTTTGTTATCCGAGTCATTTGTCAGCAGCTGTGGCACATTGATCATCGGAAAATTGATATGAAGCGTTTCATGCGTCTAACAAGCAGGTATATGAGGTCGTTTCGTTGCTTCACAGTCACATCGTGAATTTTGTAGCTGTGTTCGACGACGATCCTTGGTCTTATTATCTCGGAAGAAGCCGCTATATACGTGTAAAGTCACGTGAGATATAGACCCTTTAGAAGGTGTGTTGGAACGTTCCGCTCAAAACGTTGTCAATGTCAGTTTGACTGCACGCTCACACTTCGTGTTCTTCGACTTGATTGGCACTCATTTCTACTCTATTTCATTCCGCAGTCATGTCGCTCGACGGTCAATCCGTTAAAATTCCTCATTCAACTCTTGGCTCTTCTGAATCGTTACTCGGTGCACAGCTCAATGGCACCAAGCCAACAATGAATGGACACGCGTCAGACAGTAACGAGAGTTCGTCAACCTCTGAGCGTCTGCAGGTCATTAATGATGAGAAGAACTTCACGTCAGTCTGCTAGCATGAATGAATTTTTCTCGAGTCCTCAATTACACTACTTCCAACAGAACCCACTTGACATCTCAGATAGGACGATGGGGTCTGCGCGACGCCGGCTTCAATTACAACATAGTAGCTGTCTTTGGGTCGCAGTCTACTGGGAAGAGTAAGCTACTGAAATGTCAATGTCTGGAAGTGCTGTCCACTGAGGACTGGCAGGTACACTGTTAAATAGGCTATTTGGTACTACCTTCGACGTCATGGATGAGACAAGACGGCAGCAGACTACGAAAGGTAAATATTTGGATTACTCAACCTTCGTATTTGTGCTAACTTAACTTGAGGTATCTGGATGTGCCGAGGGAAAGACATGGATGTCATGGTCATGGACGTGGAAGGCACGGATGGACGAGAACGTGGAGAGGACCAGGTACGAACGAGTTTCAGCCAATAGTAGTTTTTATCATTCAACCACTCAGGACTTTGAACGCAAATCCGCTCTTTTTTCCCTTGCTTCGTCAGAAGTACTTCTCATCAACCTCTGGGAGCACCAAGTTGGCTTATACCAGGGCGCAAACATGGGTCTGCTAAAAACCGTGTTTGAGGTGAACCTTGGTCTGTTCGGCAAGAAAGCTCAAGATGGGTAAGCTCACTCCACACCAGTCCATTTTCTCATCTTGAAGTTCTCCTACGCGCAGCTCTCAAGGGCGTACTCTGTTACTATTCGTAATTCGAGACCATATTGGGGTTACTCCCCTTGCGAACCTCCAAGCTACACTTACTGCAGACCTCGAGAAAATCTGGGATTCCCTTTCTAAGCCGCAGGACCTCCAGGATCGTCAACTTTCCGATTACTTTGACCTTGCATTCACAGCACTACCTCACAAGATACTGGCTACGGATAAATTCGAAGCCGAAGTCCAAGAATTGCGAAAACGGTTTGTGGACAAGACGAGAGATGATTTTGTCTTCAAGCCCGTCTACCATAAGAGAATTCCTGCTGATGGCGTGGCGTTCTATATGGAAAACATATGGGTAAGGAAATTAATCATGCCCACACATTACGCACTGAAGATGAAAATTTTCAGGAGCAAGTACAGACGAACAAGGACCTTGATCTGCCTACGCAGCAGGAGCTCCTTGCACAATTCCGATGCGACGAGATATCGTCCGTCGCGCTCGCAGACTTCACAGAGCAGTCGAAGTCGCAGCGGAGACCTATCGAGGCAGGCCACGTTGTGGAAGGTCTTGGTGATTTGATGCGGGATTGGAGGTCTCAAGCACTCAGTGAGGATGCTATTTATATTTAAATTATGTGGATTCTTATCCATTTCCTAGGCCGCTACGACCGTGATGCATCTCGCTATCACCAAGGGGTGTACCAGCGCAAGCGTGCTGACCTTCTTGGGGTTATGGATTCGACACTTTCTCCCCTCTTTCTCGGGCAACTCAAGAACTTGCACAGGTCATGCCTCAGTGCCTTCAAAAGAGAGCTTCTTGAAGGCTTGCGTGGTGATGAGTATAGCTTCGCAGATGTGGTTGAGAAAGCGCGGACAAAGTGCGAGACACGGTTCGCAGATGGTGCGAAGGAGGTCTCGCTGGAGGACACTGACTGGACGTGGCAGGATGAACTCGTCTCTCTCAGAGAGGAGATTAGTAATGTGGCCGACCAGTGCAGGAAGGATGAGACGAAGAAGATGGTCAACCTGATTGAGGTATGTTGTCTGAGAATTGTCTTCAATGTCCGCTAAATATTTTCATAGAGGAATTTCAGAAAGCAAATTTCTGAACCTGTCGATATCAGTCTCAACAAAGCTACACCTGACATGTGGGACAAGGTCTTGAGCACGTTTAAAGAAACGCTCGAGAAAGCCGAATTGACTTATCTGGCAAAGGCGAAAAGTGAGTTATTTCGCCTTCTTTATTATGTTGTTCTCAATAATGTATGATGCAGGCTTCAACTGCACGGATGATGAGAATGTGGCCTCCCTCGCTGCCCTGCGAAAACGCGCCTGGCTCGCTCTAAGGGCCAAGATTGACGAACAAACTGCTGATACAGCGATCCTCGGCAAGCTTCGGACTCATTTTGAAGAGCGCTTCCGCTACGATGAGAATGCTGTTCCTCGAGTTTGGAGACCAGACGATGATATTGATGGGGCCTTCAAGACAGCTAAGGAGCAGGTAAGTGTCTTCGCGAATTTCTTCTTGCATATCTTAAATTTGAACGGTGTTTCAGACGATGAATCTCATCCCTCGCTATGCCAAGATCACCCCGGTTGATCCTTCCCTTGAGTTCGTGCTACCCTCTGAACCTTCTGACCCCCTGAATTCCACGGATGAATTTGATTTCCCTTCAACGCTCGTCATCTTTACTGAGACGAAGTCTCTTGACCTTACTTCTCGCTTCCGAAAGGATGCAGATGCATACTACGTCGAAGCGAAACGTAGCACTGTGTCGAGCATTGCACAGATCCCATACTGGATGTACGGCGTCCTCGTCGTGCTGGGCTGGAATGAGGCTATGGTAGTGTTGTTCAACCCTCTGTATTTCACGTTTACTTTGATGACGCTGATAACGTCGTACGTATATAATTTCAATTCGGCTATCGATGAAATCCTCACTTGACCATCTGTTGTTACTTTTCAGTTATTTCATTGTCAAGCTGGGTTTGACAGGACCTTTGTTTCAAGTTTCGAAGACAGTCCTGGCTGAGGTGTGTTTGATAGTTCTGTTCTGTTACTTTTCTTGCCTCACGGATCACGATTGCGACAGGTGCAGACACAAGCTACTAACCGCATGAGGGACCACTTTTCGCAACCTGTTCTAGCACAGCCTGTGCGAGCAAGTTCTGTACGGGATTACAACGAGGATAGTGATCAAGAAATGAGGAGATTGAGGCAACAGCCTATGTAATTTCTTTTTCTCTTCACTACTCGGAGCCATCTGTTTTCATAACCCGGAGCATGGTCTAGGTTTGTCATTATGCATAAATTCATGTAATTCTCAGTTCTACCGCTCGAGGCACATAGGCGATTTACTCACTATTGGTATATTCTGTGGATGCAAAAATATGATCTGACCCAGGCTCGAACTGAGGACCTTCTGTGTGTTAGACAGATGCGATAACCAACTACGCCATCAGACCGTTGGAAAAGGCTCTAATTTCGTTGTAATAATATTAACACTACGCAATACGGTTAAATTCAAGCTAATGTTTATGCCGACTTTCGAGCGTTCGTCCACCCGCGTGAGTCTCGTATATGTCATATCCTCTACGCGTCTTGGTAGGGTATTATATTGTCTGGAAGTAGAATTTGACCCCTGAAGAAGTGTCTAATAAGATCAATCTGCCATGAGCACTGCTGTCAGAACTTTCGATTCGGTTTCCTTTTTCTAGATCAATGCTTACGCGTTCCGTACCGGTTTCTCAGGCTGATTTCTCAGTTTTGTGCTCGTCTGTTTGATAGGTATAGCCTGCGCACTGCAAGTTGTATGCCGTATGTCCTAACGTCGTCTGTTTGACAGCGTCTCTCGACTCATCTCTGATAATGTGATGTGACAACGTTCTGAGCCACCTGCAACATGGCAGACAGCATTGGCAAATGATCCATTTCATGGCATACTAACTTGCTGTGCCGCTACGCATCGTCAATGCATTGCTTGATATAGATTTAGGTCCTCTGTTTGAAAAAGAAAAGTTAGGAAATATCCGTTTCAAAGCAAGGACTCACGACAGCGAGATTTGACACTACTGGTAGTGCCAACATAATCTCGTCTCTATGTAAAGGCCTCAGCGCATGCATCCTCATGACCACAACAAGAAACCTACCAGCATGACAATAAAAGAATCCGTCTTGGCTCCACCACCGTGACATCACCGTGAGGCGA